CAAATGGGAAAATCCTTCATGACCAAGTAAATTCTTTATTTGGCCTGATTTCTGCAGCTCTTCCAGTATTTGTCCTTACCTTTTTTTTTTCCTTCTTCTTTTTCTTTAGTGTCTTCCATCTTTGGCTCTCAGAGAGTCCTTATTTCTTCTGTCCTAGGTGCTTAAGATTCTTTAAAAGTCTTTTACATGTTTGCCAAGTCCAGCCAGCATCCAAACAAGTGAAACTACATTATCAATTTTACTTTCTTAACTTATTCCAGTTTAGCTCCTGTTTTCTCTATTTCATGAAACTGTATTTTTTTTGATAGAGACACAGAGAGAGAGGGAACACAAGCAGGGAGTGGGAGAGGGAAAAGCAGGCTTCCTACTGAGCAGAGAGCCTGATACGGGACTCGATCCCAGGACCCTGGGATCATGACCTGAGCCGAAGGCAGACGCTCAAGGACTGAGCCACCCAGGTGCCCCGAAACTGTATTTTTAAGTGGCATTTTTTTCTTTGGTAAAAAATTTGGACAGCAAAGCACATGTTTAAAAATGTGCCTCCAGACATTTATGGGGATATATATTTGTTATTTTTCTTTTGAAAACTTGACTATGCTGTATGTACTTAAGGTAATGGGTTTCATTTGTTCAGCAATACATTGGGCACATACTCTTGTAGGGTACCAGTGACACTTGAATTCACTTCAGTGGTTTTCATCACCTAGATTGACTACTGTGTCTTCCTTAATATTCTCTAGGCCCTTATAACATAAGCTTTATAACACCACTGTATTTTGGTTTCTTGGTTTTCCTTTGAAAAGTTTTGTTTTTGTTTTATTTATTATTTGACTACTGTGCTTCCTCCTTTTCCCCCTTTATTTGTGGACATTCTAGAAGACTCAGTTCTTGACTTTCTGCTCTTGGTTCATGTTCTTTCTATGAAAATGTACCAATCTAATGGTTGAACTCTCATGTCTGTGGGGATGACCAGTAACTCTAGACTGTGAATATTGTTTGAGACTGTAATGCCACAGTATTACTTGTCGTCTGAATGTTCTATGTAGACGATGTATTTTATCATCTTAAATTCAACATAATCTCTATTCTTTCTTACCACTTCTGTATTGAGCCTTTTTTCCTGTTTTTTTTTTTTTTTTTAATCTTTCCTTCTATTCCCAAACGTAAAATTTGAAGGACAGGTTTTTCTCATCTGTTGCTTCTGACTTTTAGTTAATTACTAACATTCTGGGTTTTTTTTTAAGCTTTTGCTATGTTTTTCTCACTTCCTTTCAGCATTTTTTCCTACCCTAGTTGATCCTTTTATGAGCTTTATCATAATTACCTTCTCTATGCAGTCTACTTTCTGTATACTCTTTGGCCAGATAAATTTTTCTAAGTCCCTGATTTCCGTATCCCTGTGACTTTAGGGATCCTACATAATCCATACCAACCTATTTCTGAGCCCTTGAGTGCATCATTTTCTAATTTTTATAATGGTAATAAAATGCCCTCTATTAGAATGTCAATAAGATTCATTAGAACTATTAAACATTAAATAGAAGTATTTTACATTGATAAACATTGGCAGAAGAGTTTCAGAATTGGAAGTTTGTGTTATCAGCTCACTGATACTTCCGTATTTAATGTGATAGAAGGAGTAGAATTGTTCAAAAAATGACCCAAAGTTTACTGGACAATGAGCTGAGACTGAGGGCTTTCTTCTTCCAGCAGGAAGTTGTATCCAAACTCAGCTTCCCACAAGACAGGTAGTGCTTCCTCCCCCTGGCAGGGTAACCCGTAACTTCCCACAGGCCCCAAGGATTCCAAGTGCTGATCAGCTGGTGTTCTGGAAAGAGCTGGTCTCAAATCTAGAGTCTTTGGTGCCTTTTTACTGAAAAGCTTGCACTCCTGATGGCCCCATAAGGAAGAACAAGAAGGGGACAGGGTGTCTTCACTGCATCTCAGACCTCTACTGCGTCTGCAGAGCATCATGGTCTTTCTGCTGTCTCCACGAGAACAGAGGGAGTTTGGGTTACTTGTGCGTTCTTTTCTTTTACTGACCCTGCCTGAAAAATTTCCTCTTTTCTCAGTAAGACTACTACTCCTTAACTCATGCCCTGCAATGTGGTAGACTTTATCTTGAGTCCTGGTGTATGAAAGGTGGAGACTGAGAATGGACCCACCTTGCATGACAAATAAATTAGCTTATAATTGTGTTATTTTTTTCCCCCAATGATGTAGGAATCTGAATTAGAGCCTATGAATGGTGAGATAATGGATGATACTCTCAAAACCTCACTTATAACTGAGGAGGAGGACTCCACCAGTGAAGTTTTAGATGAAGAAATAAAATTGCAGTCTCTTAATTCCAGCGAAGACTCTACTACTCTTGTTCCACTGGTGGTAGAATCTTCAAAACCCCCTGACACTGTTGCACAGGATAAGGTAAGAGGGAAATAACTTAATTTTTTGTAGTCAAACTGTTCCAGTGTTGGTGACATGGAAGGGGCATCATAGTATATATATTTTCCTCCCCCTTAATATATATATATATGATTTTTCAGGAAAATTAATTCTACATTCATTGCTATGCTAGATTAGGTATTCTAAGAAAATGTAATCAGCAATATTCCATAAATTCACATCTTTGTAACCTTATAATACATACCCGGTTTCTGGTAACAAAATGAGTTTTATTTTGTAGATTTAGAGAAATGCTTAGACAAATAGATAAAGCATTATTTACCAGATACTTGAATACCTATTGCTTATGTAGTCTATGATGAGTACAGTCATTTTAATTTAATTACGGAGACAGATTAGATTAATGGGAAAAACCTGATATTTTTAAAAGAAATTTCATTTTTACTTTCAAATACTCCAATTTAAGGCTGAAAAGCATTGTATAGCATTATTTTATTAGTGTCTCAAATAATGAATAAAATCTGCATTGCCCTTACCTATCATCTAATGAAATTGTAGTCAAACTTAGTGGGGTGGCACAGTGTCAAGCCCCAAAGGACTCTTGGTTCTGGCTCCAGTAATACCAAGAAACTAAAAACGTTTAGTTGATTCCTGGTTTTAAAGAACCTTGATAAAGAAGTTTAAAATGTTCTAAGTACTTTTTGAGGTAAAATAATTACTTTTATTATATCTTTAAAGCAAGAACCAGGTTATCACGTAAGACAGTTTTGAAATAATTGACTTGTATTCAGAATATTCAGAATATGTACAGCTGATTAACGAAAGTAATGAGTACCGAATTCTTGAAAATGCAGTTCATTGTCATTGCATATTAGTGTGTAATTTATATAAGAATTATACTGCGAAAGTTTGTTCACCAGGTTTTTTATTTTTAGACCTCACATATAACTGACTCAGAAATGTTGCTGGATGAAGGCCCATCTGATGAAAAGGGGCACACTGAAGAGAAACTGCCGCTAGTTTCAAGAAAGAAAGCACATTTTGGGAGTTCAGACAATGTTGCTACTATCCCAAATGAAGAACGATCTGACAGTGGTTTTCCAAACTCTGTGATAGCTGAATTTTCTGAGGAATCAATCTCTGAAAATTTATCACCCAACACTACTTCTTCATTGGAAGACCAGGGTGATGAGGGGGTACCTGAGCCCCAGGAAACATCTACAGCTCTTTCTCAGAGCTCTTTGATAGAAGTTGAACTTGAAGATGTGCCATTTTCACAGAACGCGGGACAGAAGAACCAGTCAGAGGAGCAGTCTGAAGCATCTTCTGAGCAACTGGATCAGTTTACACAGTCAACAGAAAAAACTGTGGATAGCAGCTCAGAGGAAATAGAAGTGGAAGTGCCTGTGGTAGACAGGCGGAATTTAAGAAGAAAGGCCAAAGGGCATAAAGGACCTGCTAAGAAGAAAGCCAAGCTGACATGAATGAAGAAGATATGCAGATGATAAACCCTCCTCTTTGTAACATTATTGTTGTTTTTAAAATATGGTGATTAATAAATGGCATGGGGCACAGGGCAAAAATTCCAAAACTTCACTTTGAACTTATTTATGATGCCGGTTTTCCGTCCCCCTTAGGACCTAGGATTCACCATTCTTTTTAATTTTTCGGGCTATTTTGTGTAAATACAATTTTTTTTTATTTTTATTAACCATGTTTCGACTTTGGGAAACCAGATCATACTATATTTTCTTTAGCAATTGGGGACATCTGACCATTAAAATTTGAGAAAATATAAATTAAACTGAAAGTAGTAGGCTTTACATTACTTGTTAAGGATCACAGAAATCTTTTATACTATGGATTTTAATAGTAAACTTGGTGAGGGTTCTAGAAGTTTTATCTTAAAAATCAAAACTAATCACTTTTTAAAATGTAGGCATGTCTAAACAAAAATGTCAGTAAATGAAAATATACTTCAACTAAATGAGAGCACAAATAGAAATTTATGGTGAAAGGTTTATGAAGGTAGTATTTTGGCCTCTGAATTCTTAGTTGTGTAGATGCAGTTTCTTCCTCTGACTTCAGTGTCTGAGGAAAGGTGTAAAATCTGTTTCCACCTCAGTCTCTATAACATATAATATTTACAGTACTGCTAGGGATTTAACTCTGGCAAGTAGGCACTAATTATAAAATATCATTTGAAGCTGGGGACTATTACTTTTGTCCTCATCCAATTAACATGTCTACTTAAGAAGTCTGAGAACCCTTCCTAAGGCTTCTCAATCCTGCCACTGCCTTTACTCTAGAAATCATATGTTCTCCTCAGCTTTCATCCACTTCCCTAACTCAGAGTGATTCCTGCCAAAAGATCTGCTGCCTGTCTGCCAGCTTATGCCCTTGGCATCCGTATCTGGGTAGGTTGGGACTGTGCCCCACAGTCTTAGATCTAGACAGCAGGAATAAATCTGCTCAAGGAGCTGTAGTTCAAAGAGCTTGGCTCAAATTGGAGGCTTTGGTTGTTGCTCTGGTCTTGCTCACTCTTAATTTGTTCTGTGAGGACAGGTTACAAGCTAGCCTATGTGTATACATTGTGGTACTAGGCCTTTGCCTAGGAAAACTTAAATTCTCTTAATTTTTATATAATAATTTATTTTAAAATGAACAGAATGGTTATTCTTAGAATCCAAAGAGAATCTTAAAACAGTCCTCTTTGGAAGTATTGTGTGTACTCAGATTTGCAGTTAATTTGGAGAATGCTTTGAGACCATTAAAATTGTTTTTAAAACAGCTTGGTCCTTATAATGAAAGAATCACGTTATGACTTTGCGTCATTATTTGAGGTGCTAAGGATTGATGTCAAAGGTTTATCCAGTCTACAGTCAGGTGATGTCATTAAATTTTATTTTGGAATGTTGATATTTTAGGTCTAATAAGCTAAGTTAAAATGTTTAAGCAGGCAAAACAGCAGACCCTCCTATTCATGTAAAATTTTGAATACTTGTATCCCCTACATTTTCCTTAATTATTGGTCAGAGGCAAGCCAGATGATTTCACTTCAAATGAAAATTAAAGCACTTTGGCCATTTGTTTTATCAACAAATGCTGATTAATTGAAAAAATAAATATGACTGGTACATCTATCACGTTTATGCTGTTTTATAGATTTTGTGAGAAACTTTACTACTGCAATTAGGAAAATAAAGATATGAGGATTTAGTAAATTCTTAACCGTTCCATTTTTAATTTCTTAAAATAGATTTCAAAACCTAATACTTAGATATTTTACTTTTTTACTTGGATTGTTCATTGTTCTCTTGAGAATACTTTCTTTAGAAGGGTGTAGTTTAAGACTGAGGTCACTGACAACTCTTGATATGTGAATATAGTTGCTGAGTTCACAAAACATGTTTAGTTATTCATATATAATAGGACTAACAGTATAAACTCGTACTTGTTAAACTTGTTTGGTTTATTCTTAAACAGCAAGAGCATTTTAAGCAGTTTCAGAACTTTATGCTTAGCATACAAGAAAACTTTTATTACGTATTATCTCTGACCGAAAATGTTATTTTGGGGGGTTTGTAGATGGTAGAGAAAGCTAGGTAACATAGAAAAACCTTACTTTCATGTTTGGTAACACGTTCATGTTCAGTAATGAGTTCTGTACTCAATGAGTATAGAATTTATAACAGAACTTACCCTCAATAAGGAATCTAAATAAAACTAATCAGATACTTAGTTTTTTGCAAGGCATTAGAAAAACTTGAAAATTATAGAGGACTGAAATCGGATTTCAGCCAGCCAGTCTAGTTATTGAGTGTCTAGTCACATTCTATAGTCCTTTGTGAACTGCTTTTTTCTGTTGAGAAGTTTTATTTCTGGAAAAGGATTTTACTTCAGTTTGTGTAAATATGTGTATATTTCCTTGTGTAATATAAAACATAGATATTAACAAAATTTTAGTTCTACTTTCAAGTTTAAATTATCCAGTTGCTAGACATCACAGAAATATATTTAACAATTTATTATAAAGCTCCTCTAAACTTTTTAAAGGTGAGAGGATCTATTATGATTTTTTATAAAATCAAATAGCATGACAGAATGTCAGTCTTCTACTTAAAATGTCTATATTCACGGTGTTTCCATTCACTGCAGAGAATAAATATGGCAAGGATAACACTACTAGTGATTAACGGTTCACTTTTAGCTGACCAGAACACTACCTAAAATTGTTTCAGTGACTTTAGAAAGTATCTTGAAGGTTTGTGATTACATCAAATTGAGTCTTTACCTAGTATCTAAGTATCTGCTCTTATGTACTGCTTTACCCTTAGGGATTACCTTCTAAGGTTTGGTCACACCAGCAAACTGATACAGATCTTGATGTAAATACAGAATTTATACTAACATTACAGATTAACATTACTCATCTGTGTAACAGCATTTTAGAAATTTCTGCTTTGTATGTCCACTAGTAGCTAATCTGGTGTTTAAAGTCCAGTCTTCCATGGATGTGATTAGTTACAAATGTTATGCTTCTGTTGGCATACTTAATATAAAGCTTTCTTTGTAGAAGATAGTTAATTTGCTTATTTTGGGGGTTCTAAAAAATAAGCAGACTGAGTTCTGTGGGGTTATGCTTACCTCTAGTCTATTTTTTTCACCTTCCAAATCTTAAAGTCATTCACACATTCCCTGTTTCTATTAGTGGCAAAATCAGTTGTTAAAATATAATTGTAAGAAAGGTTCAGCTTCTGTCATCCTGAAGTAATTGTATCATACTGGATAGTCATTTCTAAGGAACTAGCCTTTCTTTACTAAGTGTGTATGTGTTCTAAAACTTCTAGGTTTATAGAACTTAGAAAAGATGTTACGTTATTCAGAATAAAGTCTTACTGAGGTACTCAAGTTTTCTTGGTAGGTTTTTTTCCTTTTTTTAAGTTTAAAAGTAGTATGTTTTGTGATTGTTTCTTGGCCTGTGTTTTGATATTCTTTCCCTTTTCCCTACTTTAATTGATGAAGATGTGTTTAGATATTGAATTTGTTTAGACATTAAATGATTTTGTTAAAGGCACAATTAATCACACTGGTTGTACTTTCAAGACAGACTTTAAAAATAAACAGAATTTAAAACCACTAATGTGATTATAGATTAATGTAATATTATGGACGCCTTAAAGCTCAAAGTTACAAACAATTCAGATCACAAAAGTGCTTTGACCAAGTTAAAAGCCTAAAACATGACCTTTTTTATATTATCCAAGTAACTGCAAACAAATTTAAGGGCATCAGTGCATTCTTTTTCTTTTTAATAAAACAATTTTACCTGGAATTAAATTTGTAACCATTCTAAAAATATGAAAGCATAAACATTTTGGTGTATTTTTTTCTATATATGTTTGGAGTAAAAATACAGTTCCAAGTATTATTATACATGATTGAGAGGAAAAAAATGTTTAAAGTATGAATTCACCAACTTTCTGTATGTGAAGACATAAAGGTGAAAAGATTTATCTAAATCCTTCTGAACTCTAGTGTAGTGTGCCTTCTCTCTTCTGTACTTCTAGTAGAGTGTAAATACTTAATAAACAAATGCTACGATATGTTAATGCAACATTTCTTAGGATTAATGAAAATGAGGTGGAAGAAACTTGAAGTAAGGTCTCATTTCGTAGTTTAGGCTCTATATTTAAGTGTGCACAGACCTTTATGATAAAAGGTGTTTTCAACTACACTGGTTTTTCCAGTAACAATAGGTCTGCATTGCTGAGTATCCACTACTTAATGCAGATATGGACCAAGATATTTCTATAAATGCTTTTTAAAATTATTCAAACTTATGAACATCCAAATGCTAAAAAGACTCAAAAATAAAGACCATTTATTTTAATAAATGTCTATTTTAATGTTTTTCACAATAGAATAAATACTTCTCTTGATGACTGTAGACACGTAAGGCTGGTAGTATTCAGAACCACCACAGTAATGGTGGTCTTCCTGATCGGTATGTAATCTTAAGTAATTATAAGGAATTACTTCTCTGAAACTGCTGTCAAACCAGCAGGACTGCATTTATGCATCCATCATTTTCAGGGTTGTTGGTAACCTGGGCATATTTGCCTGAGGAAAACAAAATGGGAAAAGGAGGGAAGTTAATGCTGATAAAAATTAACTTTGCCCAAAATATTTCTAATCACTTTTAAGAAAGAAAAAAAAATGATAGTAGGATCAATGAGATTTTAGAAATCACTCAAAATCAAACAAGTTCTGGAAACAATTTTTATGTACTGTTTTTATACTTTTTACAAATGGTGGTCAGCTCCACTGTTAGTAGGTTGTATTAACAAGCCTTTGTGGATTGACCTGAGCATTGTTGCTTGTCCACATACTTAACTAGAAAATGCAACAACTTTTAATTTTCAAATTAATTTAACCTATTTTAAAATTGAGTTCAGCCAATATGAAGTATGAGTTAATGACTCATATGAAGGCTCACTCAAGAAGTTAGAGTGTATTCTTCAATTTCAGAGAACATTAAAGTTTAGAAATCCCTGGACACTAAAAGCAGAAAACTAAGAAAACGAAGAATTAAAATTGCTGCATGACACCTTTTATTTTTAATTACTACTGAAACAGTGTGGCTATTGTTTGATATGTCTCCCTTCCTCTGCTCATGGTTAATTTATTGTATTTTCTTTCAGTATATTTTGATTATAACTCACTTTCCATCTGCTTCTCTCCTAATTAGTGCCTTTTATTTTTTTTTTTAAGGATTTTAATTAATTTATTTGACAGAAAGTGAGAGGAGGAACACAAGCAGCGGGCGTGGGAGAGGGAGAGCAGGCCTCCTGCCGAGGGGAGCCCGATGTGGGACTCGATCCCAGGACCCTGGGATCATGACCTGAGCCGAAGGCAGACACTTAACGACTGAGCCACTCAGGCGCCCATTTTTTAGGTTTTTTATTTATTTGACGGAGAGCGAGCGCGAGCACAAGCAGGGGAGTGGGGTAGGGAGAAGTAGGCTCCCCACCGAGCACGGAGCTGGATGTGGGGCTCCAACCCAGGACTCCGGGATCATGACCTGAGCCGAAGGCAGACACTTAACCAACTGAGCCACAAAGGTGCCCCCTAATTAATGCCTTTTAAAGCAGTCCTAAATTCTAATACAGTATGCTTTGTATAAGTGAAACCAGTAATCTAAGTTAAAAAGAATCACATTCACAACTACTTTGCAAAGATTTAAAT